TTTCAACGGAACAGGGAACACCACACACATTGATTAGGGTATGAAGGAACCGGGAACACCATTTTCGGTCATCTAGTGAACACAGGCGATTAAATTTGACCAGACCAGGCGTTCATAGTTAGCTATCTTGTGCTCACAATTCATCTAATCTAGCGCTAGTAATTGCTGAGGTGACAAACATTCACCTTTTATTACACAACCCATGCACTCCGTAGCGACTGGTTTAATCTCTTCACTTTGCGTGGCCCCAAATTAATCAAAGCCGTCATCAACACTCGAATCATTATCGATTTCACCCAAACAGACACGTAGCCATCTGGTTCAGAGCCGACACTCCCTTTCTCCCCATCACGAATAATCTTTCGCATGAGCGTGGAAATGTGCCCTACAAACAACAAACCTTTACAAATACAGGAAGGATTATGAATGAATCAAAAACTGTTTTCCGCTTTCGGACTTGCGTTTTAACTGTTTAAACACTCCAAACCATTTTTATGACCTGATAATTGAGTTCGAAAGCACGATTGATCTACCGAAATGATGGGAACAATATAAACAAATTAGGTCCAAATTCGCGATTCGCAAATTGCATTTACTAATGTTAATATTATTAATTTTAGATTGGACCAGTAAACTGATATGTAAAGAAGTTGATACTTGCCCATGTGCTTGGTTTTGCCCTATAGACAGTAGCCCGGTGCTTTCAATCACCGTCTATTCATCAACGTTGTTGAAACTACAGATTGTTTTTTTTGATAAAGTTCTGCTGTTGCTCAGACTTTTTTTGATTGTTACATGGAAAAGTATATTATTCATTTGGGCAAAAAGCAACATTAACATATATAAATCTATACATGAAAATTGTTTGCAGAATCTGGTTTCTGTGCCAATCAATGTTAAGCAACTACAAAGTCACAATTTATACTTATAATGCTAAAACTAATTCATCAACCAGTTGTACAATGTCAACGCACAAAGCAGTAAAATGTTCATTTATCGGGGTGAACGTTGTTGCAATTAAATTCCGTCGGCTCACCGTTGGCGTTCCAGGAGCTGAAAACACGGGCCAACACAACCCGAAAACTTCGAAAAACATCCCAGCCACCAGGAAGTCTCTCCTAAATAATCTCAATCGACATTCGGAAAATTGAACACTGAATAGCCTTTCTCTGAGCACCTTGTATCTTTGATGGAGCGACATCAATTAATATAGTACTTTTAATGGTGTGAAGCAGAATAGAGGGAAGATATATCACAAACCACCATGTAAACAAATCACACACAACGACATGAAAACTCACCGTGCCAGGAATGAGTGCAGGAATTATGGCCAAAAATGCCGGATAGAGTACAATAAACGCAATATTCCGGAAAGCCAGGAAAACGGCCCACATCTTTTGCAGCTGAATGGCGAGTTGCATGGTTTTGGGAGGATGGAGAGCAAGACGTGGGGTCGGAGGAAGTAGCGATTTTCTCTCCTGAAAGGGAGACATACAACGATGATTACAGTTGATAAACTATTTGCATTCGACGAATTAGCATTTAGGCTCGCGATGTTTGCACTCATCGTTCTGTATTCTTCCTTTATCAATTTGTGGAATGCAGTAAATTTGTGGAATGCAGTGAATCGGAGGCCAATAAACAGACTGGAAAGAACAATTCAATAACGTATTACACAGAGAGACTAACTGAAAGATCAGCAAAATTGAACTTCTTTTCAAAGTATAAATTAAGTGAATTGTTCGAGGATCAATTATTCGCCGCAGTCACCCGTATTTATGTAATAGCCTGTCATAGACGAGAAATTAATCACAAAATTCAGCCGTCCGCGGGAATATTGGTAACAGGAGTATTCTGGATGATGTCACTGTGATTTTGCAATTCGAATTCAAAAAGAATACGATGAAACGAAACCTGAATGCTTACATTTTTCTGCTTGAGCTGATGATGCAAAACGATCACGACTGAGATGCGTTGAAAACCGAGACAGACAGAAAAGCACAACGAGGAAATTCACCCGTACCACACAAGCAGGTCAATTGTTTGTTTATTTCATACCCGGGGCCAATGTTGGAAACCGAGGTGGGTTATGATGCACACGCATAAATAGTATCAGGTTTCAAAATACTACTAGATATTATCGACAAGATTGCTCTGGAATATTCGAAATGTCCAATAGCTTCTATTTATTCTACCGCGCTCGATGAAGTTTATTGTCTATATCCCACTCATTTATTTCGGTTTTGCATCATGTTAATCTGTTCCATACATGGCTTCAGTTACAGTTGTTCGTTTAAATTTTTGATGTGAACGAAACCACTAGATATAGAAGTGCAATGATCGAAGAATTATGGTCTTCGGTAGGCAGAACTTACTGAAGCGATTCACCGGGGAACGGCCTTTTCAAGTTCGGGAATGAAGTGACCAAAGTAATGTAGTGATTGTTAGTCCGTGATCGACACCAAATGGCCCCGTTTGACAAGGAGCTTTATATACAGGCAAATGCGTGCATGCGTGTGGGTGCAAATGAGTACAATTTATACCTATCCCAAAACCTCGTGATAGAGCTGCTTCCATTTCCGTGAAAATGACCATCTGATCTTGGCGATTTAATTCAAATCCACAGAGCTACACAGGTAGTGAGGATGATCTACGTGTTTGTGATTAGGGTGTAATCCGGTGTTGTGTATTCGATGGGCCACCAGTGATCGGTGAATTTGTTGACGTGATTCTCTTGGGGGCCGAAATTCGCGAGACGATAACGGGTTGAAAGAGAAGTGCGATTGTTTCGTGCATGCGTGTGTGTTTGTGTACGCGTGTATGCATGCTTATCTGCTGGGCACCCGCACAAATGTCGTTTCAATCGAGCTCTTAGGGCACTCGCGGCACAGTTTGATGAAATCCGTGTGTGATCTTGTTTGTGTGTCTTTGTGTTTATGTGGGCCGAATTGAGTCGGGTTCACTTGAACTGTAGTGAAATGCAGCTCGGGCGATAAGACCCCGTCTCGCATCAAAGCGATCTATGCCTCCAACGTCGCAGAACAATTTGACGTGTGAATATATTCTAGTAAAACGGCTTTTCGCAGTTTGTTTGTGGTTGTTGGTGCCGCTGTAAAAGCCGTACCTATGAAACAAACGTTGTCTTCCTTCTGTGTTGTCAACACAAATGCGTTTCCCAAATACTACCGTTGTTCTCTTCTGATCCCACAGAGTATCAGGTTTAGACAGGGGCAGAACAAATGTCACACATAACAGGGTCAAGAGGCATCAGTGGAAAGTTGAACTGCATAAACAGATTGACAGGCATAAAAATTCGTACTTTAATCTGTTCAATTGCAAAGCGCCATTGTCAGCGGTATCTAACTACGTCGCACGAGCACATGAAATGTTCTCTTAGCAAATAAAAAGTAACAGATAACCGACCACAAACCAGTTGACAAGCAACCATGATTGTCTTCTTCTAAAGAAAAAAGCCAAAAATAATGACTTGCAAACTCACGCACATGTGTACATACATACATTCATTGTTTCCTTTGATCATCCACTTCTACAATGATTGATAGAGGAACACGCAACGGTAAAAAAGATGTACAAAGTTTGCAAGGTTTTTTTCCTGGCATGCAAGGCCATGCTCAATGTGCATGACCAATCCAACATTCATAAAACGAAGAAATGACACAATCTGAAAATTGACCGAATCAATGGGATCTGCCAATCGTTTAGTTTATTGGTTTCTTTCTATAAAATCATTTCCTGTTCCTGATCATAACATGTATTCAACTAATGATTTTAGTTTTGTTGACGACAAAAATATGAAATTGTGATGATCGATAAACACTGGTCTGGATTTGACGTACGCGTTATTTTTATACCGACATTTCAGATCTTCCACATAAACTTAGTCACTGATATCCAACGGTAAAATAAATGTGCCTTTTCATCGGCCGAGTGGCATCAATATCTACCATAAAGGACCGAGTGAGATGTTTACTAATTTAAGGTTGAATATCAATCTACAAGTTATTCGAACATCGGTATCGAGCATCATGATTCTGGTCCTATTTTTATTGTTAGACTTCTCTAGATTCATTCAATCATACCACGAAAATTGTTGCTCCGAGTGTCTGAAATCGGAAAAGAAATAGAAACGAATTTATGAACAGTTGCGTAAACGAAGTGATGAATTATTGTTGAAAATTGCTATTCCATGCAAACGCAGTTCAACTACGTTATTCCGATGAAGTTTTCAAAACAATAATTACCGGTGATACGCTACCTGTTGTCAACAAACCTATAGTTTGTCAGTATAGGTTTCCTTCTGTGAAAACATCTTTCTTTGCATCTAAGAAAGTTGTTTTGATTGGCGGAAATCTGGAAACTGAAACAGAAATAATTAGTTACTTTTTAGATTAAGAATGAATCAGTCCTTTATATGCTACTTAATAGCAATTATTTTTATTTTATACAAATTTCTATACTGGTGAGCTTTTTTATAAATTAGGCCTCACAACTAAATACTGCATTATAAGACAAGCCTATAGAACATGACACGAACACGTGCACTGATTAATGTTCTCTCCGTATTCTATAAGACTGAAGATCCAAAGGTGACATCAGAACAAACTCAAACCGATAATTCCGGTCACCTTCAAGTTGACCTATTTTAGTCATTCATGGAACATACAGTTTCATTGAAATGGACTCAGTATTTAACGAAAGTGACAGATAAATTGGGTGCTTTCTGTGACTGTAGTAGATTGAAGAAGCCTAATGTTTTGCCTGAAGCTTAAGTTGCACATCCCGCAGCACTACACACGAGTAACTGAGAGTTAAGCTGCAAACTAGTTCCCGGCAAATTTGGTTTTCAACAGCAAAGTCAAAGTATTCGGGCACTGCCAGATTAAATGCAGATAGGCAAAAGTCAACAGAAAAGAGTTCACAAAGCCTGTTATGTGAAGACCGAGTGGTAACGAAAAGGATATCCACAAGGAATGAGTTTATGCAAGTGGATTCATTTTGTTTTATTCGAGTATAAAATGTTATCTTTTATCCCTGGTATCAACTAATGGGAACCAGAAACCGGGGAAGGGATTCCACGGATACTCTCACTATGTGATATAATTCATTTTATTTCAACCTAACACAGTGTAGGAAGTTTTAATCAAAGAAAATGGTTACCGAATTATNCAGTGTGCGGAATGCGCTACTATCATACGTTGTACAAACAGAATGGACCTGAATTTGAATATATGGAAGTTCCGCTGCACCGCAAGGTTTTTGTGAACTTCTTTGATAAGTGTTGTCATAGCGAATGGATACATGCAGAATAAACTTATCTGAGCAGCGTATCAAGCTGGAAGCACATTGAAGAGACATTTTGCCCAAATAATAGGTTAAACGCGTTGAATTCCCAAACGCCTATAAGCTACGAACCATGAGCGAATATGTAATGATAAATTTGTCAGAAAATGAGATATACGTCTGTTGCGTTAATTTTTCGCTACCGTGATTTTTCATCATTTCATCACCACATACCAGTAGCAGTAGTTGTTCGTATTTATCTTAACTGGATTCTTAGATTTTTTGCTTCAATACTGATTGCATCCTAAACTGCCAGATCGTACCAAGTTGCGAAGGTTTAAGGGTAACTGATTATGTTGCAATAAATTTATGACCCGCAGACTGAAATAGATGAACATTCTGATCGACGTTTTTATTCGAAGATTGATGAATGCCAGCGAGATCCTTTGCTCTGGTGTACTCATGTATATAGATTTCCCGTGTACTCCGTGATAAAAATATAAACCAGTTTCACTATATCATCATAATAAGGCCGTTTTTGGAGAACATCACTGATATTATAAGTGTAGGTAAATACCCCACTTTCTGAATCCGTTTCAATTCAGACGTTAGCTTATTTCTAATATAACAATTTTTATCCCGAAACATGGAGAGGAAAAGGCTGATGACCATAGATCAGTCACCGTTATAAAATGTTGTACAGAACAACGTGATTATCAGTGAATTTCGTCAATCACTTTGAACTGTAAATATTACAAACTTTTGTGTAAGTGCGATGGGTTATTGAAAAAACAGTTTTTTTGTTGCTGCATACATGATCACATAGGCAATAAATCGACTTTGTATTGCGCACATTTATGACAACGATAGATGATATCTAGTTGTATGCCTGTCAGCTACATTTTTATTTGAATTGTGTTGCTGATGTAGTCTCATGAGTAAAAGAATTGCAAACTCGGTTCTGACGCTGACGTGATATGAAAAATAACATGATTCTTGAATGGGTATTTGACTAATTCGACCAAGAATTATTTTTGGTGGACTAATCTGTGAGAAATTCTTTCCATTTATTTATAAACCACTGCATGGAGTAGGTTATTCTTATTATACACGAATCAGTACATTTTTACAGCTTTTCCTCGCAGCGCTCGGTGTTCCTTTTATTTTCAATCATGTAAACGTTTTTGACATC